TGTGTGTGTGTGTGTGTGTGTGTGTGTGTGTGTGTGTGTGTGTGTGTGTGTGTGTGTGTGTGTGTGTGTGTGATGTTAGGCACCACTGAGGGCAAATGCTTGGAGCTGTTAATTCATTATGGTTCTAAAATAATATCCTCATTCTGACACTAACTGGATAATTGCATGTAAAGAAGCTTGCCCTCCATCTGTTATTTGATTATCCAGTAGCACACACATAAGATTTTGACAAAATCCAGACTGAACACTTAGCCATCTCACCAAGAAGCTCCATGGTCAAGGCTAAAGTCATAGCCCGTTAATAGAAAACACATTCGTTTCCTGCCTACTCTGGGCTTCCAGAAACTACACCTCATGGCGTTTTCTCTTTCTCTCAGAATTCCAGCGCTGACCATCGAGTCCGACTGGACCTGGGCCTCTGGGACAAGTTCAGCGAACTGGCCACCAAGTGCATTATTAAGATTGTGGAGTTTGCTAAACGTCTGCCAGGCTTCACCAGCTTGACCATCGCAGACCAGATCACCCTGCTGAAGGCCGCCTGCCTGGACATCCTGGTAGGAGCCTTTCTGAACTCTTGGAGGAGTAGGGGCGGGATGGGTGGGGTGCCTGAGAGGCTTGAGAGATCTGCGGAGTTTCCCAGCCTCCCTCCCTGCCTGTCACCACCTCTGCTCACAGAGGCCCATTCTGCTGGAATCTCCATTTGACTGTGAAAAGACCCTGGGATTGGGCATAACCTCCCTGCTTTGCTTCCCCAGGATGATACTGGGAGAGGGGCCAGTAACACCCTTTCAGTGATGACTGGCTTGTGCCTCCTGGGGCCAGCTTTTCCCTGCGCAGGCCAGGCGAGTCATTCTAAAGACGACCTTCTCCTTCTGCTCATACTGCCCGTCCCCAGAGCCTCAGGGATGTTTGTAGCCCCCTTTCACAGGACAGCCATGGATATGTGACAGACCACAGGGACTCTCCAGGAGGTAGCACAGCAGTGCGATGGCTTCAGCCCCTACCCCAGTTTTGCACCACTTCTATTTAGGGCTTTAAGGAAACCTCTTCCTGCCTGTGTTACTTCAGGCTGTGAAATCAGAGACCAGGCAACTTGAACAGCAGCATTTTCTTCTCACAGTTCTGGAGACTGAGAGTCCAAGATTACGGAGCAAATGTGGTTGGGTTCTTGGTAAGGGCGCTTCTCTTGGGTCACAAAACTGGTCCCGTCATCTCCTTACAAGGGCACTCATCCCTTCCTGGGCTTCTGCCCTCCTGACCTCACTGTCCAAACCAACTCTTCCCAAAGACCTCCACCTGCCAGTATCACCACAAGGGCAGTTAGGGCCTAACATACAAATTTGGGGGCAGGGACACAAACAGCTGGCAGCTCCTCCATGGGCCGTTCCCTCAACTGTACAAAGGGAGATTCTGATGCCACTTGGTTCCCTGCCATCGTCACTCTGCAACTTGTAGTCTTAGAGAGGGAGTGGCTACACTCACACCTTTTCCTCTGTGGTCTCTGCTGTCCTCTGCTGGCTGGATGTCTATTCTTGCTGTGCCCCGAAAAGGCTTCAGGGAAAGGGTGACCAGTTCCAACTGCAACTGTTTCCTGGGGCACAGGAGTAGCTCCCACTAAGGCAGCAGTGATGTGTCCTGCCTGAGTGGGAGTGAGGCAGAGACACCTATGGAGAGGCCCATGGAGCAACTCAAAGGGTTACATTGGAAAACAGGGAAAGTAAAATTAGCTTTGAATGTAGAGGTTTTCCTTTTTACCATGTCTTTCATGATTTTGGGCTTAAACCATTCTGCAAAGCTGATACCATTCATCACCATAATTAGACACATACACACTGACCCACACAGGAGGAGAGAGGACCCTGGAAGGGGGTGTGTTTTCTGTTACTATAACAAAACAGAATACTTCAGACAGGATAATTGTATGCTACTGAAGTTTGTCTCGTGGCTCTGGAGGCTGGAAAGTCCAAGAGCGCAGTGTTGGCATCTGCGCCAGATTAGGTGAGGCCCTTTTGCCGAAGTACACGTGGGCAGCACAGGGTGAGACAGTGAGTGTGTCTGCTCAGGTCTCTCTTCCTCTCCTTGTAAGGCCCCAGTCCCACTGTGGGGCCACAGAGGGCCCATTCCAGTCAACATACGAATTTGAATAAATGAAATTTAGGGACGTATCCAAGCCACAGCAGGGTGGTTGTGTAAGAAGCCTGAAGGTTTGCTCATCCTTCACTTGGCTGAGTAGAGCTGCCCAAGGATGGTATGGTGCCTCAGTAACAGACTGGTGCCAGAAACCTGAGAACATCTGGTTTCTTTCTTCTTGAAAAATCAGTTTGGGCTAAACCAGGAACATTTCAGAAAACATTTCAGAACCTCAGAGCAGCATTAATCTGTAGAGTTTGCCAGCCTCAGCTCCACAACATTGAGATCTCCCCTTCAAGGTCCCCTCCCAGCTTCCAGTAGGCATCTTCCCATGCCTTCCGTTTACACTGCTCCCCACAACAGCTCTCCTCCAGTTTGCCTGTGGATCCAAGTTAGCCCTTACCTCTCAGTGAGTAAGGTAGAACCTTTCCAAGCCTCACTTTACCCACGTGCAGAATAGAAATACGAATAAATACAGCATTAAATAGAATTACTTAATGATGTTAAATATGGTAATGGGAACCTAATATGTGGTAGAAGCTCACCAATGAGATTGAAGGCAAAGGGCAAAGCTGGCAAAGCCTGTGTGGGCAGTTTCATCCCACGGTGTGGTTCAGAAACCCTCAGCCATTCCTTCCTGGCCTCCACGGGGTGGAGAGATTTGGTTGAGGTGCAGCTGGCAAAGGAGGAAAAAGCCCTGGTAGGGGAAGGCATATAATCTGGGCATATAATGTGGAACAGAAGGCATGGTCATTCATCCCTAGACACGAGTTCATCTCCAAGAATTTACACAAAAGGCAGTTAATCACAAGATCCTGAAAAATGCACAATTTCAAAGATCATCTTTTGAATGAGAACACCAGTTGGCCGAGCCATTTAGAAGAATCTTATATTAGCCATTAACATAGGGAGAGAGTAAGACCGAGACCAGGCAGACAGAAGGACTCAGGCTGAAGTCGTTCTCAGCCCGAACAAAGAAGAGGCCAGGTTGTCCCAAGGGTCACCAGGCCTGAATGAGTGCTGTCCATTCAGAGCCAACCATCTTATGTTGTGTGTGGTCTCCTAACCAGCCCGGCCATTTGTCTCTGATCAGGTTGCTGCCAGGCTGGCACCATGAGAGGAAGACACAGTTCACTGTCACATCCAGCATGGCACTTGGGGAAGAGCTGATTTATCATTGTGAGTGGGAGTCTCTGGGAAATAGCAGGGGAGGGAAAGTCTCACCTGTCCCGCCTCCTCTCCCAGCCATTCCACTGCAGGGCAATCTCCAGTGCCTGGGATGCTTGTGGAGTCCACAGCCAGGCTTCTGTCTTGGGTAAAGCAGGGAATTCTGAGGCCCAGCTTTGAATTCCATGATTTCCCACCAGAACTAACCAGTCAAAATGGCTTTTGAGATGGAAAAACTCTTCATAACTATTGCAGACAAAATTTTTCTTTGCTTTCCACACCTAAAGCTTGCGGCATCCCTAGGTGGTGTTCAGTGGATTGGGAAAGCCCCCCAGGAGTGTCCTTCACCTGAGCTCTGCCCTTGTATTTTTTTCTTGCTTAATCTCCTGCATCTTCTTTAGCCCTTTTCTTCTGCTGCTCCCTTTCCTCTCCTTCTTCTCCTCTGCAGGTAATTAGGATTATGTCCCTCTCAATTGAAAGTAAAAATCACAAAAACAAATAACACTGGAGGCTTCTGACTTTCTGGTTCCTCTTTCTCCTTTGTTCCTTCTTCTCTTTGATCCTACTTTCCTCCTTCCCTTCCACAAATACCTGCTGTGTGCCAGGCAGGCTCTGTGAGCCAAGCAGGCTGAAATCCTGGCCCTTGTAGAGCTGACCTACTGGATGGCAGGGCGACAGACAAAGAGCAAGCACATGACCAAATTAAACAGTCTTAGGCGCTGCAAAGAAAAGTAGAATCAAAATCAAGGGACAGAGTATGACTGTGTGGTAGGGTCTGGTTTTTCTAGCACATTAGGGAAACAGGTAACCTTTGAAGAGACCTAAATGGACCTTCCAAGCCAGAACCAATCACCAATCAGCATGGGGCAACCGAGAAACAGTACAGTTTAAAGGCCACGAGGCAGGGGCAGCCCTGAGAGTGAGGAATAGCAAGTGCCTTAATTACTTTGTCTTCGCTGAGACACAATACCCAGGACTCACAATTTAAAAGAGGAAAGTTTTATTTTGGCCCACAGTTTGTAGAGGTTTCAGTCCATAGTCAAGTGGCTCCAGGACAGGGCAGCATGGCAGAGGAGAACTGCTCACGACACGGCTTAGGAAGCAGAGAGACAGAGAGTGAAGGGAGGAGTGGGGAAGAGAGAAACCCTTCCAGGCCACATCCTCGGTGACCCAGCTCTTCTGACCAGATCCCACCTCCTAAGAAGTCAGCTGGGAACTCATCAGTGGACTAATCCCTGGTCATTACCATGCCCCCACGGTACAATCACCTCCCCAAAGCCCCTTGAGGCTATAACAGCAGGCCATGAGTGTGCCTGAAGGGGAGGGGATAAGAGGGGCAGAAGGACCTGGGGTCAAGGGAGAAAGTGAGATCCGAGGTCACATGCAGATTTTCATTCTCAGTATCATCAAAATCCCTCATGGCATGAGCAGAGGCATGCCATGGTCTGACTTCTGTTAGATAAGTGTTTCCTAAATACTTACTGTGTGCTGGACAGCGGGAGATGAGTGTCTGCCCTACCCAGCGTTGTCCTGCCCCCGTTTTTACCAAGTACTCATCTCCCCTGCTCCACCCTGCCCACCAGGGCGTGGATCTCGCCCCCTCCGCTTGCCTCTGCTGTTGATAGTGGCTGTAGGTGTGTGCTCGGGAGCCAGTTTGCCTGGATTCAAAATGTGGTTCTGCTGCCATTTAGTCTTGTGACTTTGAGTCAGGTACTTCCCCTCTGAGAGCCTGTTTCAGCATATTTAAAATGGTGATATCAGAAACTTCCTTGAGGGTCTGGAGCACTGTCTGGCATATTACAGGCCTCACTCATCTTACATGTTGTTATTAAGTTCAGTACATCTTCACGGGTTCTGTTATCTACATTTTTCAGATGAACTAGCAGAGGCCTGAGTGGAAGCCAAAGGCCCATAGGGTCCCCTGAAGTCGGGAGTCAGCCTCGGCTAAAGGGAGGTAAAATTTGCTTTCATGAAGGCAGAAACTTGAGCAGTTTTCTGATGAAAATGATCTGCTTTTCCAGAAGTTGTTCAGAGTCTGTGGTGGAGACTTAGGTTCAATATGTAGCTCTAAGTTTTACCGTGAAATTAAACCATGTAGCAATACAATGAGAGGCACCGATTCACTTATAACTCAAAAGACAGTTTGAATAACAGGCCACCTGGCCACTCAGGTTTGTAGGTGAGTGTCTTGCCTCCCGGAACCAGGACTCCAGGGTAGCCTGCATGGTTGGGGCTGACCCATGTCTACACAAGCCAT